AAAAAAAATATTAATAGCATCCTTGATTGGTTGGATGATATTTTGATGCATACAAAATAAAAATCATATTAATTACACGTATCTAATTTAATAAGGAATAATTAAAATACATTAATTATAACTATCTAATGATTTTTTATCCTTATAACTATCTAATTCAAGAAGAATTTACTTTAAATATATTAATAATATAATATCATTTAAATATAATTGTTAATGAATTTATATGTTAACATAATAATTAGATATTTATACTCATCCATTGTGAAAACAATTTATTTAACTAGAAATCCCCATTCAGTCTCTATATACAAAAAACTTTTGAATTAATTACAGTTACGGTACACTGCCAAGAGATAGGATAACCATGATAAGCAAAAAATGTTAATGCATAATAAAATCATTATTTTTTTATAATACTTATTTTCAAATTATATGTAAAATATTTTCTAGTTAATTGACATAATTAAAAAATTATATTGTTGATAAATGAAAATTAGGATGATTGAATTTGTGAAAAATTTTCCATTTTCATACATTTATACAAAATAATAAAAAAAATATTTATTGTTTTTATTTTCACTCTGCATTTCCTTGAATCAAATAACCCTTAAACAATCTAAGAACCTTGTTACAAAATTATCAACATTCCTGTTGTGTGTGTTATTCTTGTAAGCACCATCATAATTTCATGAATAGAAGGTATTACGAAGCCAAGAATTTTCATTGGTATTGACCCTAATGCATTTACCAGTCTAAGCTTCTTAGTCATCCAACCACCATGACCACTGATAATGTTGCAATTATTATTACTTTCTATTCCCTTCTTTCTCTCTATCATGGTACCTTTCAGAATCTATTAACAACAAAGAAACCATGAGTAGTGGCGCCGCATTTAAGGTTGCTGTGTTGGGAAGTGGAAGTAAGCACTTCATCTATGTGATCTTATTTTATTTTTGATTTTGGCTTTTAGTGAAATAATTTTGTTTAATAATAATTGAATGGTGGCAGTTTCAGGAGCCGTGTGTGCTTCAACTCTTGCCAGAAATGGGGTTTCTGTTACTCTCTTTGAGTCAGCTAGAGGCCCCGGTGGACGCATGTCTCAAAGAAGGTTCTTTTATTTATTTATTCTTATTTTTGGGATCCCCCACCATTTATTTTAATGGGGTTCTGGGGAATTATTGTTTTAACCATTGGGATCTGGGAATGACATCTTGAAAATGGTCAATTGATGCAGGTAGAACTTTTATATCATATCACTTGCTGAATTTTTCAATATCTTTCTGAAAGTTTTGTTTTTAATTGAAAAAGGAAAGAGATTTGGAATTTTCTGATTGTTCTGAATACGTGGAATTAGGAAGGTCTGTGGGGTCTTGAATTTTATAATTTGAGAAAACTTAAGGAGAAGACACATTGCTCTCACTGCTGTCAGATTTTACAATTGTTCAGATTGGTAGCATTAGCTTGTAACATGATCTCTGTATGAAATATCTATGTCAATTTTCGGTGTTTTAGTCCATGAGCTTGTTTAGAAGAGTTTTTAAGAACTTCTTTACTTAATATATAAAATATTTTTTGGTAGAGAAGATTTCAAAAATACTTTTAGGTTATAACCAAATAGAATTTATGTTATTTGAAGCAACTATTATATTTTATTGATTTTTTTATTTTATTTTGTTGTTTTCCTTTTGGGATACTTTTGTTGATTGTCATCATTTAGTCAAAGAATATGCACTGATGTTTTGTGGTAGTTAGTATAGTTTAAGGCGTACCACAGTTACTATTGTTATATCCTCGCTAATTATACTGAAATTTCCTTCATTGGCTTGGTGGTAATTTGAAAGAGGGTCCTAAATTTTCTCAATTTCTGGAAATATAGAGAGAAAACTGAAGATGGGACGGAGCTGCATTTTGACCATGGTGCTCCATTTTTCTCAGTTAGCAAGTTTGAAGTGTTGCGTCTGGTTCAAGAGTGGGAATCAAGGGGTTTCTTAGCTGAGTGGAAAGAAAAGTTTGGCTCGTTTGATTTTCACACCCTTAAATTTAACAACATAGAGCAGGTTGACTAGTACTATTCATATGCTTAAATGGTTTTATGCAGTATAAATCTCGTATATTGATCACGCAGTGTTTCATACTTTCTTTTATACTAATGGATAGTGGTGTGGTGTCTATACTCAATTGGAACTTATTATCATGGTGTATCTTCCTCTACGTTGTTGGTCTCCCTCCATCATGTTTCTAAACAGTGTATTAATCTGGATTGGATTTATGAATATGTATCATTTGCATATACAATTGTCTTTTATAACAAGATTTCTATTTCGATTTATTACCCATTGGTCTGCATACTGCACACATAAAAGTTGTGTACTTTTAGTTTTCAGTTCTCGTTTGGCTCTATATGTACTTTATATGCAGTTTTCAGTTCGGTACTTCTACTGAAAAAAAAATTACATTTTGTATGCACATATAAAAGTTGTGTTTCGTGTTCTCATGACAAATGGAGATTTTTGGCACCACCTTAAAATTTAGATGTTACAAAAACAGATTTGCTGGGAAACTCATCATATTTTACTTCCAATTCAAAATGTTATGTACTTATTCCCATTATGTTCAAGACATGACTTGTAACAAAACCTTGTGTATATGAGATTACTTTTATATGAGTAGTTGTTTCTCTGACTGACTAGTATATCTTTTAGGAAGGATTAAGCAAGAGATATGTGGGTGTTCCAGGAATGAATTCTATATGCAAAGCATTATGCAATGAGAATGGTATATACTATATACTTAATTCTCTCTATTATTTAGAGTTTGTTTAGATACAAGTCTATAAGTGTTTTTGAGAGCTTTTCTACTGGAAATAAATTTTTATTTTTAACAGAGAAATTCTCATAAGTTCTTTTAGCTTATATCCAAATTAGCTCCTAGTATTGTTTGTTTAGAGTTGATTGTGAAACACTCATGCACCAATACATCTAGTTTTATGTGTGTTTTTAATCTAATTTTACTTAAATAAGATTTTTTTTTTTTAAATAAGATTGTTGTGTATAGATGTTGAAAGCATAAATAGATTTTAACTTTTAAGGCATGTAGTGTTGTTTATAGATGTTGAAAGTAATTTTTAAGGCGTGTAATATAGAGGATCTATTCAGTATTAGATTGAAGATGTAAAATTAACATGTTCTTAACCTAAAAAATAAAAAAAATAAAAAAATGAGAAAGAAATTAGAGAATAATATTTTGGGTTTGACTCCAATTGTTTCTCTATTTATAGAAGCGTTGTAATTATAATTAATTATAAAAGTGTCATTGTGACTATAATTAATCATAAGAGTTAAAAATAAATAATTTTTAAAATGTTTGATTATTTAAAAGTAGTTAAAATTAAAACGATCAAGTTATCATATTTCATTAAAATAAATTAAATTTTAAAAGTTGTAATTAATAAAATAATAATTTTGAATTTAAAATTTATAATTATTTTGTAAATAAATTAACATTTTGAAATATTTCAAAATATATATCAATCTTTAACATTTTTAAATTTTTTTAAAAAGAAATAATTTCTTATATAGGTTTTAATGATCAAACCTGGTTTAGCAAACTAGCAATGAGACTTAGATCGATAAGATTTAATAATGTAGTGAGTATAACAAACAATTGAATCTAAAATACTTTATATCAATTAGAAGTTAACCAATCAAAACAGATGTTACAATCTTTGTCGTTATTCTTGTGTTAAATTTTTATAGGCCATGCGTGCGCTATATTCGTGAGTGTTCTTGAGATGTCAGTAAGAGACTTTTTTATTGAAATAATACTATTTTTAAAAAAAAATTACCCAAATAGCAACTGTGCAAAATTATTTACATCACTAGCACGGTTAACTGCTCTGATATCAGAACGGGTCGTTATGTAAAAATAACACATGACGAATGAAACAGAACGGCCCGTTCCATTTTCAAAATTAACACATGAACAGTAGAACCAGAACGGGCGGTTTTGAATCCGAAACGAGTTGTTCTGGCCACTTCTGATGGGCCGACATATGGAACAATAGACGTGAGTACACATTGATGGGTCATCCAATGCAAGACCCATTATTTCAAACACGAGAATACATGAAATGGTACATGGCCAATTCTATTTATTTCCTATCTATGCCAAGACTACTACAAGATCCAAGGACCTATCAACAACGAAAGACTTCTACAACATTTGAAACTGGTGCAACTTCCATGTGATCGTATGAAGAGAGTCATCAGCAGTATCAAATCCTCCACACAACATCACTCCACAAGAAAACAATTGACAGAAGGCATTCGTTTGCAACAACTTCAGAGAATTTTTTTACAAATTTATTTGGAGGAGAGAAAACAGAGGGAAGTATTTTTCTATATTGATACTCAATAGAACGTATTATGGGAGATGAATAAAGTGTCTTATATAGACACAATTGCAACACTTAAAAATAAGGAAAACTAATAACTAATAGAGCTGTACAAATTTTATGACTTTTTATTATTTCCCTTTACAATGCAATCTCTTTACCAATCGGAATTCGCTAATGAACCTAGTAGTTTTTCAACAGCATTTCAACAACCAGTGCTTGATGATGAACCAAATCCTTCTGACCAACAACCTTCACGGTGTAATCCAGGCCGTAACAGACATCGCCCTTGTTGTGGAACTGAACACCATTACGGAGATTAAAAAACTTATATAATTCACTCTATCTTAATGTTATCGTTTTTTTACTTTTAATGCACTATGTCTCTTTATCAATGTAATATGAATTTTAATGTTATGTATTTTTACTTTTAATGCACTATGTCGCTTATAAACTATTATAATTATACATTATTTGGACATGTCTTCCTAGTGTGATGTGCAGGTTATCTAGGCTTGTCATTATTAGCCAATAATCTTCATGTCGGAGCTTGCATTATAGTAGTCGTGGCACAGATAATAAATAGATGGATATGGCCATATACCATTCCATGTATTCTCGTGTGTGAAACAATGGACCTTGCATTGGATAACCCATCAATGTGTGCTCACGTCTATTGTTCCGTATGTCATCCCATAAGAAGTGGCCAGAACGTGTTGCACTACAGCTTGGGTCTGGCACACCCCACCAACTCAGTTCAAATATTTTGTTTTTTATAATTGAACTTGCAATTGAATTCGATACTTACCCTTCAATTTGAGTTTCTACATTCAAGCACAATATAAGGTACTGGTTGACATGCTTCATTAATCAAAGTATAAATTGAGGCATTTCTGGATGATCATTTAAATTGGGCCTTCAATAATGAAGTATAAATTCTTTCATAATTATATTCATTATGTAACTCGATGCATGACTTTGTTATGATGACTAATCTTTTGTTCATTTTCACCGAGTTTTCATTATATAAGATTCGATTTTTTGATGTAATATACGAGAAGGAATAGTGAAATTATAATTTTTAATAAATTAAATTTAATCATATTTTTTTGTTGTGAAATAAATTAACTGCACAATGGTGACTCAATATTAAGCGCCATTACCAACTATATAAAGCATATTTCTTTCAAGGTGAAAGTTGGATGTTTATTAAGTACCAAACTTTCACTTGTTAATCTTATTGAACAAAATAATGTAGTTCTTTGGAGGTGTCTCTTCTGTACG